CTTGTAAACCCTGCGGGGTCACCCAAAGTCAGCTGCGACTTGAGAGCACTTCCCATCCCCACCAAGAGATGTGCATCCGTGCTGGTTCTCCTGCACTTCACATTGGCTTCCAGTACCACCACTCATGGAAACCTACTGGACCGTCTGGTTGCAATGGGCCTCAAGGACGTTGTGTTAGAGTGGTTTGTCCTCCCTGGAGGGTGGACCCTAATGGTACCCCCAGGAGGCTTCCATTCCACCTCTTGGCCACTGGTTTACGAGGTTCCATCTTCCCTCTGTGCCATGAACACCTGCTTGAGGCCACCGGGAAAGATCACCTGCCGATAAGGAGTGAGTTGCCATCAGTCTACAGACAACACTCCAATCTAATATTTATTTACTCCATTTATATTCCCATCTTTCTCACGGAGAGTCAAGGAGGATTTACAGAACCAGAAAACAAGGCCATAAAGACCAGTATAACAGTTTAATAAAAATGGACTACAAAATTAGGGAGATGGTGGTGGTGCTTGGGAGAGAAGGTGGAAACTAGGTAGGGTCAGTATTTGGAGCAGAGACCACCAAGGAAGGCTCTGCAGAGGAAGGCAATGGCAAGCCACCTCTGCTTCTCACTTGCCTTGAAAGCCCCATGCTGGGGTTGCCATAAGCTAGAAGCTAAGCAGGGTCAGTACTTGGAAGGCAGAACTCCAAGGAAGACTCTGCAGAGGAAGGCAAGGGCAGACCACCTCTGCTTCCCACTTGCCTCGGCAGCCCCTCGCTGGGATCAACATTAGTTGAGACTGGATGACCCTTGCATACTTTACACAGAGAGTGAATGAAATGTGGAATTAACTGCCAGGATGATGTAGTGATGGCCACAGGAATAAATAGCTTTAAAAGTGGATTAGATTGATGCATGGAAAAGAAGTCTATCAATGGCTACTAGCCATGGTGACTAAAGGGAACCTCCACATTCAGATGCAGTAAGCCTCTGAGTCCCAGAGCCAGGAGGCAACATCAGGGGAAGACCTCAGCCTCTATGCCCCGTTGTTGGCCCTCCAGAGGAACTGGTGGGTCACTGTGTGAGACAGGATGCTGGACTAGATGGACCCTCACTGGTCTGATCCAGCAGGGCTCTTCTGAGGTTCCTATCAGGGGAAGGCCTCGGCCTCTGTGCCCTGTTCTTGGCCCTCCAGAGGAACTGGTGGGCCACTGTGTGAGACAGGATGCTGGACTAGATGGCCCCTCACTGGTCTGATCCAGCAGGACTCTTCTGAGGTTCCTATCAGGGGAAGGCCTCGGCCTCTCTGCCCTGCTGTTGGCCCTCCAGAGGAACTGGTTGGCCCCTGTGGGAGACAGGATGCTGGACTAGATGGCCCCTCACTGGTCTGATCCAGCAGGACTCTTCTGAGGTTCCTATCAGGGGAAGGCCTCGGCCTCTCTGCCCTGCTGTTGGCCCTCCAGAGGAACTGGTTGGCCCCTGTGGGAGACAGGATGCTGGACTAGATGGCCCCTCACTGGTCTGATCCAGCAGGACTCTTCTGAGGTTCCTATCAGGGGAAGGCCTCGGCCTCTCTGCCCTGCTGTTGGCCCTCCAGAGGAACTGGTTGGCCCCTGTGGGAGACAGGATGCTGGACTAGATGGCCCCTCACTGGTCTGATCCAGCAGGACTCTTCTGAGGTTCCTATCAGGGGAAGGCCTCGGCCTCTCTGCCCTGCTGTTGGCCCTCCAGAGGAACTGGTTGGCCCCTGTGGGAGACAGGATGCTGGACTAGATGGCCCCTCACTGGTCTGATCCAGCAGGACTCTTCTGAGGTTCCTATCAGGGGAAGGCCTCGGCCTCTCTGCCCTGCTGTTGGCCCTCCAGAGGAACTGGTTGGCCACTGTGTGAGACAGGAGGCTGGACTAGATGGACTATCGGTCTCATCCAGCAGGGCTCTTCTGATGTTCTTATGAAGGCCTCGGCCTCTCTGCCCTGTTGTTGGCCCTCCAGAGGAACTGGTTGGCCCCTGTGGGAGACAGGATGCTGGACTAGATGGACTATCGGTCTCATCCAGCAGGGCTCTTCTGATGTTCTTATGTTGTGCTTAATCAGCATCTTACAGCAGTGGGGGATAGAATGAGGGTAAACAAACAGCAGCTTTATCCAGACAAAACTAAAGTGTTGCGGATGGGAGAGAGAATAAGCACTCAACCTGCTCTGGATGGGAACGTGCTCCCCGGAGGGAGAAAGCACACTCTCTGCACGAGCTCCTAGACTACCTCCGACCCTGGAAGGTCTTTTAAATTGAGCTCCTAGCCTTATTTAAATTATGGGCCTTTAATAGTTGGCAAAATGTTTTTAACGGCTCGATTTCTGTCGTTTTACAATTACTGCCACATTGCGTCGATAGCTGTTGTCAGGGGGCCACCATCGACACTTCTTTGAACTGGAAAGGCGGCATCTAATTGATCTAATTGAATAAAATAAGTCAAGAAGGAAGGAAGGCTAAAGCGCTTGGGGCTCTTTAGCTTGGAGAAACGACGGCTGAGGGGTGACGTGATCGAGGTTTACAAGATTATGCATGGGATAGAGCAGGTAGAGAAAGAGGTACTTTTCTCCCTTTCTCACAAGACGAACTCGTGGGCACTCCATGAAATTGCTGAGTGGTTGGGTTAGAACAGATAAAAGGAAGTACTTATTTACCCAAAGAGTGATTAAAACATGGAATTCACGCCGCAGGAGGTGGTGGCGGCTACAAGCATGGACAGCTTCAAGAGGGAATTAGATAAGCATGTGGAGCAGAAGTCCATCAGTGGCTATTAGCCACAAGGCATAGATAGGATCTCTCAGTCTGGGGCAAGTGGTGCTCTGTGTTCTTGGGGGGGGGGGGCAACAGTGGGAGGGTTTCTAGTGTCCTGGCCCCACTGATGGACCTTCTGATGGCACCTGGTGTTTTTGGCCACTGTATGCCACAGAGTGTTGGACTGGATGGGCCACTGGCCTGATCCAACACTGGCTTCTCTGATGTTCTTAAAATAATTTATTTACAGCATTTGTATAGCACCGTTCCACTCCAGGCAATTTAAGTAGCCATTTAAAAGTATTTAAGAACATAAGAACATAAGAGATGCCAATGTTGGATCAGGCCAAAGGCCCATCCAGTCCAACACTCTGTATCACACAGTGGCCAGAAATACCAGGTGCCATCAGGAGGTCCACCAGTGGGGCCAGGACATTAGAAGCCCTCCCACTGTTGACCCCCCCCCAGCACCAAGATGACAGAGCATCACTTGCCCCAGAGTCCCTATCTATACCTTGTGGCTCATAGCCACTGATGGACCTCTGCTCCATATGCTTATCTAATTCCCTCTTGAAGCCGTCCATGCTTGTAGCCGCCGCCACCTCCTGTGGCAGTGAATTCCATGTGTGAATCACTCTTTGGGTGAAGAAGTACTTCCTTTCATCCGTTCTAACCCGACCGCTCAGCAGTTTCATGGAGTGCCCATGAAATATACAAAATACTGCCGCCACCACCTAACCTCTGTATGGAATTGCCCGCTGGGAGGGTCAGGACTCTCAGCTTCCCTTCCACATTTTCATATACAAAAACCCTTATAATAAACAGACACAGAGCAAAATGAAACCCAAAACAAGCAGCAATAAAAAATAATAATACATTCACAAAATAAAGCTGCGAGCCTAAAAATACTTCCCTGAGAGCAGGCCCCATTGAATAACATGGGAGATACTCTCAAGGAGACCTGATGAGGACTACTCCCTAACCAGCGGAATGTTGTTACTGTCAGCTAGCTGCCATATCTGTGTCGTCTACCCTTCCCTCTTCCCACCTTGCTTGCAGCTCAGCAGCTTGCCGTAAACATGCCAGGGAGACCGTGGGAGCTAGACGCTGTTATCAGTCTGGCCTTGTGCATTAGGGAGGGCTTGGGGTCCACATTTGGTGTGAATTTTTCTGCTCTCAGGAAACCATGGGACTCTCCCGCTCATTGTGTAATCACCCGCCGGGAGTCTTCCCGCCCGCGCGCTCGAAGTTCATTTGCTTAGCTAATTGCCTTGCTCAGCTATATGTATTGGGATGTTCCCGCCTTCTAGTTATTCCTAACAATAATCCTGTGGACATGGTACCAGTCTTGTACACTAATAAACATAACGCTTCTTGAGAAAGTTACTTGCTGTGGAACCTGAGTGTTACTTGCTCTTAACAGAATAAGGCATGATGTGCAGGCAGTGAAGTAGCATGGAATGTACCACTTCAGCTCCAGGTAAGGGATGTTTTTTTTTTAATTTATTTGATTGATACCCCACCCTCCCCCACAAGCGGGCTCAAGGTGGGTCACAACAGGTCATTTCACAGTAAAAACACAATATTAAAATATACAATTTAAATCCAGTTTTTAAAAATTCAGAATAAAATGGCAGACCAGTTCAAGGTGGTCCAGAGCGCCTCCTGCGGGGGGGCTCAATAAGACATCCAAATCGCCCGGGAGATGCTGTGCGGATCCCTTTAGCACCGTAGGACCATTAAGTAGGGCAGTATGAGCAACTCCTGCCAACCTAGCAGTTCGAAAGCAAGAAATTGCAAGTAGATAAATAGGTACCCCTTCGGTGGGAAGGTGACAGCGTTCCGTGTGCCTCGGTGTTTAGGCATGCCGGCCACATGACCACGGAAACGTCTTCGGACAGCGCTGGCTCTTCGGCTTGGAAACGGAGATGAGCACCGCAACCCGAGAGTCGGATTCGACTGGCTTTCGAGCAAGGGAACCTTTACCTTTACCTTTATGAGCAGGGGAGGCTGAGATGGTTGGACGCCCACCACCTCAGCCGAAGGCCTGGCGGAACAGCTCCGTTTTACAGGCCCTGTGGAACTGTAACAGATCCCGCAGGGCCCTGATCTCAGGTGGGAGCTTCTCCCACCAGGCTGGGGCCACGACAGAAAATGCCCTGGCCCTGGTCGAGGCTAGGCGGACATCTCCCCCCCCCCCCATTAATAGGCTATACCCTTTCTCCCCAATGTCCTAAGCTAGTGTTTTATCTGCAGGAACTTTCTTTTTACATAGAGGGAACACTAGCAACATGACTTTTCTCGCAGGCTGTCTCGAATTAGGAGTACCGTCCAAGCAGCCGTGGGGACGGGGAGGGAAAAAACTCAGTGGAGTTGCTGGCATTGCCGTGGTGCCTGTCGAGGGTTTCCCCTGGTTCCCATTCACTTCTTCGACGAAGCATCTCTTCCGCAAAAGCAAAGAGCCCGTCCCGGCTTTCCTCCATCTCACTGGAGCAGGTGGTATTCCAGAAGAATCCAGGCGGCATCGGCCCTTGAGTCTGCAGGGAGAACCCCTTCAGGAACAGCTGCCTGTCTCGTGGGACGCTGCTTTAAGCCGCTTAGGAGCTCGGTCTTCGGTTGGTCCTCCCCTTCTTAGTCTTTCCTTCAGCTCCTTACCTCGACGCGCTTCCCCTCCTCGCTGACCGACCGGCCCCTCAGTCTCAGGCTGCAAGACTAGCGGCTCGTCGCGGTCATCTTTACATTCCCCTGCTTGACCCTGCAATACCCGGATATCAGTAACCTGGACAGCTCCCTGGAATAAAACAGAGACAGAGGAAGTCAAGTCAAATACCTTTTTATTGGCATACGATATTAAAATAAACATTTCCCAGTATTAATACAATCCTCAAGTGGTTAAGACGCTGAACTGCAGGCTGTGGAAGGTCAGTAGTTCAGCAGTTCGAGACCCGGGTGCCGCATGACGGAGTGAGCTCCCGTCTCTGGTTCCAGCTCCTGCCAACCTAGCAGTTCGAAAGCAAGAAATTGCAAGTAGATAAATAGGGACCACTTCGGTGCGAAGGTAACAGTGCTCTGTGCGCCTTGGTGTTTAGTCATGCCGGCCACATGACCACGGAAACGTCTTCGGACAGCGCTGGCTCTTCGGCTTTGAAACGGAGAGGAGCACCGCAACCCTAGAGTCGGATTCGACTGGCTTTCGAGCAAGGGAACCTTTACCTTTACCTATAGAGATTATAAAATGGATAATCGTGGTAAACCATCCCAAGGATGTGTCAGGCCTATAACATACCTCAAGTTGTCACAAGATAGATTCGATCATACAGAAGATAGCTGAGTCGTACAATAAATTGAAATCTAAACTTTTAAACTTAAGTTTTTTACAAATTATAAATTAAGAATCATTAATATGCTCAGAGTCATTCTTCCGTTTTATAAAACCATGAAGAAACTTAGCGGTCAGTTCAACGATCTCCGGGTCTCGTGAAGCAAGGAGATAATGTACCTTGTTTCTATCCGGTTGGCCTACTACCAACCTAAGGGGGGCTTCTATAAATTCCACTCGAATGTCATTTAACAATTTACAGTGTAAGAGTACATGCTCGACTGTTTCTATTTCTCTTCTATTACATCCACAAAACCTGACTGAATAAGGGATTTTCTTATATCTCCCCTCAAAAATAGCAGAGGGGAACAGAGGAAGTGTTTTTCCAGATGCTTCCACTTACGATCAGCCCGAGCACTTCAAAGACAAGGATGAAAGACCAAGAGGTGAGCATAGACCCAGAATGCGCGATGGAGGTCCAATACTCTGGATTTACTTTATTGCACCAAGAGGCTGAAGTAGCAACAGAGCTGGACGGGAAGCTTAAGGCACAGTGGGTGGTGGCACCTCCGTCTCCCAAGGACAGGAGAACCAACGAGGATGGTCTACCCCAATTACAATAGTCACGGATCCTGCTGGTTCTCTTAGTGGTGGCTCATCTCAAGTCCTGGTGGGGGCCTGGGAATGCCAGGCTCACAAAGCCAATAGACAGAATCACTCCTGGGCATCATAGAATCATAGAGCTGGAAGGGGACCTCCAGGGTCATCTAGTCCAACCCCCTGCATAATGCAGGAAATCCACAAATACTGCCCCCTGCAAACCTGCAGTGACCGCTGTTCCATGCCCAGAAGATGACAAAAAACCTCCAGGATTGCTTCCTGACCCCAAAGTGGCAATCTGCATTCCCCTGGATGTAAGAAAGGGCCACAAGAACTAAGCACTGATGCAACCCTTCCGGCCCTCCCTCTCATGATCTGCTTAAGTTCACAGAATCAGCATTGCTGTCAGATGGCCATCTAGCCTCTGCTTGGAAACCTCCAAAGAAGGAGAGCCCACCACATCCCAAGGAAGCCTGTTCCACTGAGGGACCCCTCTAACTCTCAGGAAGTTCTTCCTAATGTTGAGCCGAAAACTCTTCTGATTTAATTTCAGCCCACTGGTTCTGGTCCGACCTTCTGGGGCAACAGAAAACAACTCTGCACCATCCACTATATGACAGCCCTTCAAGTAGAAGAAGAAGAAGAGATTGGATCTATATCCCACCCTTCACTCTGAGGCGTCTCAGAGCGGCTTACAAACTCCTTTCCCTTCTTCTCCCCACAACAGACACCCTGTGAGGTAGGTGAGGCTGAGAGAGCTCTGACAGAAACTGCTCTTTTTCAAGGACAGCTCTTATCAGAACTACGGCTTGCCCAAGGTCATCCAGCCAGGTGCAAGTGGAGGAGTGGGGAATCAAACCCGGTTCTCCCAGCTTAAAGTCCGCGCACTTAACCACTACACCAAACTGAAGATGGTTATGATATCACCTCTCAGTCATCTCCTCTCCAGGCTAAACACACCCAACTCCTTCAACCTCTTCTCATAGGACTTGGTCTCCACACCCCTCACCATCTTCGTTGCTCTCCTCTGGATACATTCCAGCTTGTCTATATCCTTCTTAAATTGTGGTGCCCAAAACTGAACACAATACTCTAGGTGAGGTCTAACCAGAGCAAAGTAGTACCATCACATCGCGTGATCTGGACACTATACTTCTGTTGATACAGCCAAAATTCGCATTTGCCTTTTTAGCAACCACATCACACGGCTGACTCATGTCCAGTGTATGGTCTACTAAAAACTAAATTGATGGAATCACTCCTGGGCATCCTCTCCTCCACTCCAAGAGAACCCCAGCCCCAGTTTGGTGTCGTGGTTAAGTGCGCGGACTCTAATCTGGGAGAACCGGGTTTGATTCCCCACTCCTCCACCCGCACCTGCTGGATGACCTTGGGCAAGCCGTAGTTCTGTCAGAGCTGTTCTCGAAATAGAGCAGTTTCTGTCAGAGCTCTCTCAGCCCCACCTACCTATAGGCAACGTTCCCTCTGTGGAGTCTTGTGAGCAACAATTCTGTTTTGTGAGCTACTGGCATTGAAGTTGTGAGCGAACGATTTGGCTACTGCATAAATTAGTTTGCTCTGGAGCCATCCCTTCCCGAGCTAAGACAAAAATGTGTGACCTGGAGGCTAAAAAACTGTGAGCTAGCTCACACTAACACAGCTTACAGGGAACACTGCTCACAGAGTGTCTGTTGTGGGGAGGGGAAGGGAAAGGAGTTTGTAAGCCGCTCTGAGACTCCTCTGGGTAGTGAAGGGCGGGGTATAAATCCAATCTCTTCTTCTTCTTCTTTAAGAGGGACCTGGGGGAATTGGGGAGGGTTGGGAGACAGCTGAAGCACTGGTGCCAGAAGATTCACGCTAGGTTTCATATAGCGTGCCTTAGACAACCATCAGAAGGCCTACGAGGTGGCTCAATTCAACTGCAGTAGCACCTTAGAGACCAACAAGATTTGTCTCTCGAAATCTCATACCCCAAAAATCATGTTGGTCTTTGCGGCGGAACGTGCATGCTGTGGTCTGCGGGCCCGACTGTACCCTCCTAGGTGTTTCTCCACACGTGGAGAGGACTTCCTTCCACTCTCGCATGGCTCACCACCACCCAACCTTTGTATGGAATCACCCACTGGGAGGCTCAGGACTCCCAGCTTCTGTTCCAAGTTCTGGGGCCTTGCCTCTGTGTCTCCTTGCTGCCCTGAGTCTGGCCACCACAGGGACAGTTTATGGCCTTGTGCATCTTTTGGAGGAATGGCCACTTGCCAACTGCCTGCCTTCCCCCTGTTGCTCCTTTTAAAATAGCGTGTTTGAGATGGTGGAGGTCTATGTGGTACAGAACCCCTGCCAGCACCACAAGGTATAAAGTATTTATTCAAAAGAAAATGTTCATGAGCATACTTTTAGCACAGCACCAAACTGAGCAAGAGATACAAAAGAAATGGGTAAAACGCAAATCCTCTGTCCCTATCAGATGTTAAACTACAGGACAGGCTGTTTCGCTTTAAGAAGTTACAAATCTCTACATAGTTACCATTAACCTTGAAGCTCCCTTCAGCTGTCCAGGCCAACCACATGGTCAATGGCTGCCTCCTCAACTGAGAGTCCTGCCTCCTCTCATGGCCTCAGCACCCAATGAAAAGAGACCTCCTTCCTGTTGCAGGGAATTTTTATCAGATCTGTTTCTCCACCCACTGACCAGGTCACGCCTGGTCAAAGAAGCATTTCCTGTTCTCTGTCCAGAGGGGAGAAACTTTTAAAATGCAAAGTGGAGGTTTGGCTCATTTCAAACCTCCCGGGACAAAATGCATTTCTTCAGTCTCTAAGGTGCAACTGGACTCCAATCGAGCTGCTCTACTGCAGGCCAACAGGGCTCCCCTCTGAAACTATGAGGTGGCTTTGATGCTTACAAAACAGCCTCCCATTCCTGAATCACACCCGACACAATTATTTAGGATAATTAGGAATTCGGTGACTCCTAAAGCAGAGTCCCCCCCCAATGAAAATAATTTTGCAATTAGATGCCAAGGTTTTGCATGTCTCTTTGTTAGTCCATTCTGAGTTGGACACCAGTTTAAGTGCAGGTCACATAGTGGGAGCATGAGATGCCCTGTAAGCAGTGTTCCCTCTAAGCTGAGTTAGTGTGAGCCAGCTCACAGTTTTTTAGCCTCCGGCTCACACATTTTTGTCTCAGCTCAGGAAGGACGTCCCCAGAGCAAACTAACTGATGCAGGAGCCCAATCGCTCGCTCACAACTTTAAGGCCACTAGCTCACAAAGTAGGATTTTTGCTCACAAGACTCCACAGCTTAGAGGGAGCATTGCCTGTAAGGAACAGGAAAATGAGGGTTCATCGCTCTAAGGTGGAATATAGACGGTCACAGTTTTAATCTTCAGCGCCTCCAGTCTTTGCAAAGCTGCTGTCAGGGTGAGTGGACAGCACAGGGCTTATCGGTCCAATCGTCTGGCCCCATGAAAAGCAACTTCCTATGTTCAGGGAAAGTAGCTTATCTCACTATGTAACTGGCATGCCCGATAGGACAATGCACAGATTGCAAGTACAGTTAAGGGCACGGAAGTGGGGGAAGAAAATCGCCTCATGGCTTTGGGTGGACTTTACAGAACCATGAGCATATACTGTTCGTGTCTCATTAAATTTTTTTTAATAATAATAAAACATTCTAACAGGGTTTCGGCACCCAGGCTTTGACTGATTAGCCACAGTCTGCCAGAGAACACCATCCGTAGCCAGTGTTCCCTCTAAGCTGAGTTAGTATGAGCTGGCTCACAGTTCTTTAGCCTCCAGCTTTCTGATTTTTGTCTTCGCTCAGGAAGGATGGCTCCAGAGCAAACTCATTTATGCAGTAGCCAAATAGTCTGCTCACAACTTTAATGCCAGCAGCTCACAATGTAGAACTTTTGCTCACAAGACTCCACAGCTTAGAGGGAACATTGCCCGTAGCTGTCCGTGTCAGCTTTCCCCATTCGGACGTCCTGTTCCCCAAATCAGAACTGCCACGGTTATGCAAAATCAAGTTAAAGGTAAAGGTTTCCCTTGCTCAAAAGCTAGTCGAATTCCAACTCTAGGGGGCAGTGATCATCTCCATTTCCAAGCCGAAGGAGCCAGCGCTGTCCGAAGATTTTACCGTGGTCATGTGGCCAGCATGACTAAACGCCAATGGACACGGAACGCTGTTACCTTCCCACTGAAGTGGTACCTATTTCTTGCTTTTGAACTACTAGGTTGGCAGGAGCTGGGGCCAGAGACGGGAGCTCACGCTGTCCTACGGCACTCGGGCCTCAAACTGCCGAGCTACCGACCTTCCGGTCCGCAGTTCAATGTTTTAACCTCTGAGCCACCGCGGTTAGAATGCAGCAGATTCATCGGCGCACCTTGTTCATCTGGCTGTCCCCAAACTGCCCAGGTTCGTCGTCTCGATGGCTCTCTGCTCGACAGGCCGGGTCATTGTCTATCGTGGCATACGTCATTTCCCAAGAGGGGGAAAAAAATCACAGTGAAAGACGTTAGTCGCTTCTCCCGTGGCAAGACGTATTCTACTTTTTAAGCCAGCAGCCCCCAATGCGACACCCACCGACAACTTTCCTGGTGCCCGCCAAGTGTTTTAGAAAGTCAGCAGGGGCAGCTACCACCCTGACACAAAGATCTTCACTGTATGACTGAAGGTAGGTTGTGTGTATGCAAGAAAATAACAAGTTCATACTAAAAGGCAACCCATTAAACAGATCTTCTGCCTGAAAGGCTGGAGAGTTACTATTAAGAGTTATACATGATGTTTCGTTGTTCAGTCGCACAGTCGAGTCCGACTCTTCGCGACCCCATGGACAAGATCTCGCCAGGCCTTCCGGTCTTCCGCCATCCTCTGAAGTTTGCTCAGTTTCATGTTCGTTGCATCGATGACACTGTCTAACCATCTCATCCTTTGCCGTCCCCGTCTTCTTTGACCTTCAATCTTTCCCAGCATCAGGGTCTTCTCCAGTGAGGGCTCCCTTCTCATTGGGTGGCCAAAGTATGTGAGCTTCAGTTTCATTATCTGGCCTTCCAGGGAACAGTCAGGGTTGATTTCTTTTAGGATTGACTGATTTGATCTTCTTGCAGTCCAAGGGACTCTCAAGAGTCTTCTCTAGCACCATAGTTCAAAAGAATCTATTCTTCGGCGCTCGGCCTTCCTTATAGTCCAACTCTCGCAGCCATACATGACTACTGGGAATACCATTGCTTTGACATGATGTTTATACATGATGTTACTCCCTGACATTTTGTGGTTGAGTTCCACTGCTTGGTTCTACTGCCAGTTTGGTGTCGTGGTTAAGAGCGCGGACTCTAATCTGGGAGAGCCGGGTTTGATTCCCCCACTCCTCCACATGCAGCTGCTGGTGTGACCTTGGGTCAGCCACAAGTTCTCTCAGAGCTGTTCTCTCAAGAGCAGTCCTCGAAAGAGCTCTCTCAGCCCCGCCTACCTCACAGGGTGTCTGTTGTGGGGAGGGAAAGGGAAAGGAGATTTTAAGCTGCTCTGAGACTCTGAGACTGAAGGGCGGGGTATAAATCCAGTCTCTTCTTCTTGTGGCAGCCAGTTGGTGTTTGTCTCTGCCTCCTGTGTCAGCCATTTTGTAATTGCGCCCACCACCCTATGTCAGAATTCCAAAGTTGCCCACAGGCACAAAAAGGCTGAGGACTCCTGTTTTAAGCCATGCAGCAAAAGTGCTCTCTGTTGTAAGCAAAAAGGGACAGAAAAACCCACCTGGCTTGTGTACGTGGCCCTTGAGGAATAGGGTCCCTCCCAATTGCACCTGAGGAATTCGCCTCTAACCCACCAAAACATGCTGGAATAAATTTTGTTACTCAATTAAGGTGCCACTGGCCTCCTGTGTTTGACTCTGCAGCTACAGTCTGACAAGGATGCCCTCAGGAATTATCTTAGAATGCACAACGGAGGTCCACTGAGAGCCCTTCCCCGATCCCAGTTTGGCGTGAGAGCCAGTTTGGCGTAGTGGTTAGGAGCGCAGACTCTAATCTGGGAGAACCGGGTTTGATTCCCTACTCCTCCTCCTCATGCAGCTGCTGGTGTGACCTTGGGTCAGTCACAAGTTCTCTCGGAGCTGTTCTCCCAAGGGCAGTTCTCAAAAGAGCTCTCTCAGCCCCACCTCTACCTCACAGGGTGTCTGTGGTGGGGAGGGGAAGGGAGAGGAGATTGTAAACTGCCCTGAGACTCCGAGGGAAGGGAAGGGTATAAATCCAATCTCTTCTTCCTCTTCATCACCACTGCATCTGCCCTGGAAAATTTCCCCTCGCCATTTACCAAGGTATTAGTCACCATGATAAATACCCCGTGGTTTTGAATCTGCAGGGTGCTGTTCACTGCTTTTGTAGGTATTTTTATTTATTTTATTTATTATTTTTTTATTTATACCCCGCCCTCCCAACGGCTCAGGCTGTACCTCTTACTTTGTAACCCCCTTTTACTAAGAATATATGGGCGGCGGATAATTAAGACACAGTAGATTGCCACAAGAAAGTCAGCATGATGAGTGGTTGCAGTGTTGGGAGGAAGATTTGGAGATCCAGATGTGAATCTCCAGTTTGCCATAGAAACCTAGTGGGGAACCTCTCCTGGGCATGGGACAGGGGTCGCTGGGTGTGTGTGTGTGTGGGGGGGGGTATTTGTGAATTTCCTGCACTGTGCAGGCGGTTGGACTAGATGACCCTGGAGGTCCCTTCCATGATTCTATGACCCAGGGCCAGTCATACATTCTTCAGCCTAACCTACCTCACAGGGTTGTTATGAGGATAAAATGGAGAAGGGGAGAAAGTCCTGAGCCCCTCTGGGCCCCCCTGCAGAGAAAGTGGGTACAGCTTGAAGTAAATCAACATAACAGGTTGATAGATCCCCTCATCTCCACAAACTAAACAATTTGTGGATGTAACTCAGACCTTTCATTTAATGTTTAGCGTGCAGCTTTATGAGTCTGCCTCTAGATGCCGCTCTTGCAGCAACATGATACATTGCATTTAAGCATGTGCAACAAAGGACATCCAGAATAAACAATTTACACTAGAATCTTTACATTGGATTTAAAAGGGTGTGGCGCTGCACGGGATGGCCCTGTGACACATAAAATGGCAGTGCTGTTGCAGCGGGACTGGGGAGTCACAGCTTCGAATCCCCACTGAACCAGAAATCTCATTGGGTGCCCTTGGGCCTAACATACCTTAGAGGGTTGTTGTGAAGGTAAAACGGAGGAGTGGAGAACTACGTATGTTGCTCCAAGCTCCCTAAAGGAAGGAGTGGATAGAAAAATGCAACAGACTAAAGGCTTCAGAGGCTGAGGGTAGTAGAAGAAATTGGATTTAGACCCCATCCTTCACTACCCAAAGGAGTCTCAGAGCAGCTTACAATGTCCTTTCCCTTCCCCTCCCCTCCCCACAACAGACCCGCTGTGAGGTAGGTGGGGCTGAGAGAGCTCTTTCAAGGACTGCTCTTGAGAGAACAGCTCTGTGAGAACCGTGACTGACCCAAAGTCACACCAGCAGCTGCATGTGGAGGAGTGGGGAATCCAAGCCGGTTCTCCCAGATTAGAGTCCACGCTTCTAAACCACTACACCAAACTGGTGCTATCTGCCGCTTTACCAGAAGTATGTGAAGCACTGACCTCATGAAGTTTTTTATGACTGTTTTTAAGTTTAGGAAATTCAAGCTCCGCTGTTTTAATGCTGTCAACGTTTCACGTTTCAGAGACTGTACTTTGAGGAGCCCGTATTTTATTGTTTCTCCTCTTCTGTTTTGTCACTTGCCACGGACTTTGGCAAAAAAAAAAAAAGCAACACAAAGCTGCATCCCTAAGGCTACTTCCTTGGGAGACAGCCCCAGGGACAAACATGGGACTTGCTTCTGAGTAGACCATCTTAGGAGTGCCAGACACGCACGCACAAAACAATGTAAAAGCCTCCATGGGTTTAGGGGTGGCCAAATCCTTCCAAAATCCACTGTTTGTGTCATCTGTAATGACCCTCCTTGCACCGGAGGAAGAGGAAGGAGGAGGAGGAGACTGGATTTATACCTCGCCCTTCACTCGGAGTCTCAGAGCGGCTTACAATCTCCTTCCCTTCCTCTCCCCACAACTGACACCCTGTGAGGGAGGTGGGGTTGAGAGAGCTCTTTCGAGGACTGCCCTTGAGAGAACAGCGCTGAGAGAACTTGTGGCTGACCCAAGGTCACACCAGCAGCTGCATGTGGGGGGGGGACCTGAAGAATGAAACCTGGTTCTCCAGATTAGAGTCTGCCGTTCTTAGCCACTACACCAAACTGGCTCTCTTTAGAATCAGATCAGCACATAGGGTTGTTGTTGTTGGGGGGGGGGGAGCCTTCCAAGAAAAGACTAAAAAGAAAAATAAGGCCTCACCTACTTACAGGAAATCTTTACCAAAGAATTCCTCGCGATTCCTTGAGCTACCCAGAAGTGACAAAGGGTAGCTCTAGGCAGGGGTCATTTCCTGCAGGAGCGCACAGGAGCGGAGCTCCGGCAGTAAAGAGCCCAGGGGGCGGGCACATGCAACAGGCCCCACCCCCTGCTCCCAGCAGCCCTCAGTCAGAGCAAGAAGTAGCCAGGTAAGCTGCAGAGCCCACCCCCCCGGTCCCCCGGTCCAAAACAGTCCAGTGGCACCTTTAAGACCAAGTTTTATTCAGGTACGAGCTCTCCCTCCTCTGCGAGGACAGATCTGCACGTTTCCCCCCCCCCCAATAGCTAGCAATCCAAAACAGTCCAGTGGAGCCTGAGCGATGGGTGTTCCCTTTTGACACACTTCCGGTGATGTCAGGGGGTGTGGCATATGCAAATAAGTTGTGCTAATGAGCTCCTGCACCTCTTTTTCTACAAAATGACCCGGCTCTAGGAATCACCAGAAACTCCAGAGTTCTTCCTTACCATAGAGTTTATGGTGATTTGTAGACCTACCCTTTGACACTTCCAGGACAGGCAACAGGATTCCCTGCCCCCAGCTGTGGCTTTGGAGACCCAGCAGCACAGAATGACAGGCGCAGCCTTACTGTGACATATAGGGGGTTGGGTGTGCCAGCTCCCTTTATGCAAAGATATACGGCTTACTTTTATTTGCCACTATGAAGCGCAAGTGAGCACCTCTTAATGGAACTTATTCTGCACTTTTAACTTACTTTTTGGAAGATTTTGTGCCAGCTGAACTGTTAGCCAAATACTGGTACGCTGGCTCCAGTCCCCGGGCGCTTCCACTTCCCACATTCGAGACTGCTCTTCGGGATGGGCGTCCAAGAATCGCTGACAAACTAAACAGGAAAGGCAAGAAGCACCAGGCAAAGTGCACAGGAAATCAGTCAAAAGTACCTACCAAGAACACCTGCGGATTCCTTCCAGGTGCAATTGTTAATATTTTGTGCAAAGTTGCCAGTCTCTTGCTAGCAGACTTCTCTTTGTAATATTACTTCTCTATAATGTGATTTATATATTGATTGTAAAATGTTTTACTAAATGCGTTCGCCAGGACATCACGGTGTTTGTTTGTTCGTTTGTAGTCTCTTGCTAGCTGCTGCAGATTAAAAACAAAAACTGTGCCTCAAGAAAGCCAATGCGGTGTAGGTGGTTAAGAGCAGGGCTATTTTTGGGCAGGAACGCACAGGAACGGAGTTCCGGCTGGCTCCCAAGTTGGCCACGCCCAGCAGGAACGCATTAGCATAATAGGCCACACCCAACAGCAGAAACTCATTAGGATTGGCTACATTAGGGGTGTGTGGCCTAACATGCAAAGGTGTTCCTGCTACCAAAAAAGCCCTGGGTTTTGACAACAGACAAGGTCAACAGAATAAGAAGCAAAAGGTGGGTGTGGCTGGATGAGCACACTTCTGGTAACATGGGGGTGTGGCTTAATATGCCAATGAGCTGTGCTGTCAGGGGTGTCCTAATATGCTAATGAGTTTCTGCTGTTGAGTGTAGCCTATTATGCTAATGAGTTCCTGCTGGGCTTTTTCTACAAAAAAAGCCCTGGTTAAGAGTGTCGGACTCCCAGGTTGTGTTGTCTTTGTATGCCTATACGTTTTTTTGGAACAAAATCTGAGCCCAGTGGCACCTTTAAGACCAACAAAGTTTTATTCTGGGTATAAGCTTTCGTTAAAGGTGCCACTGGACTCAAACTTGGTCCTGTTACTTCAGATCAACACAGCTACCCACCTGAAACTATACATTTTATTGTATTGTTAAAGTGTTACTTCAGATCAACACAGCTACCCACCCGCCTGAATCTATACATTTTATTGTATTGTTAAATATTTCATATATGCAATTTAAATGCTGTTTAGAAATGTCTTAAATAAATGGTAAATATGTAATCGTTCCACCCCGCTCCATCCTAGTCAGACCTCATCTGGAGTCCTGTGTCCAGTTCTAAGAGGTGGCGGCAAACTGGAATGAGTTCAGAAAAAGGCACCAAAGATGACCGGAGATCTGGGAAACAAGACCTACACAGAAAAGTGGAAGGGACAGGAGAACAGGGTCTATTTTGCCTGGAGAAGACTGAGGGGGGACATGATCACACTCTTCAGACCCTGAAGGGGTGTCACGTGGAAGAGGGCGAAGACATTCTTTGCTGCTCCGGAATGCAGGGCCAAGATCTCATGGGCTCAAGTCGCAAAATGGTGGATTTCAGCAGAATAAAAGGAGAAACTTCCGAAGAAGAAGAAGAAGAGGAAGAAGAAGAAGAGGAAGAGGAAGAAGAAGAAGAAGAGGAGGAGGAGGAGGAGGACGACGACGAGGAGGACGAGGAGGACGAGGAGATTGGATTTATACCCCGCCCTTCACTCGGAGTCTCGGAGCGGCTTACAAACTCCTTTCCCTTCCCCTCCCCGCAACAGACACCCTGTGAGGTGGGTGGGGCTGAGAGAGCTCTGACACAAACCGCCCTTTTTCAAGGACAGCTGTGCCAGAGCTTGTGACTGACCCAAGGTCACATCAGCAGGTGCAAGTGGAGGAGTGGGGAATCAAACCCGGTTCTCCCAGATTAGAGTCCGCGCACTTAACCACAACACCAAAGCGGTCTGACAATGGAATCAATGGCCTTGGAGAGAGGCGGCCTCTTCCCTCATGAAGGTTTTCATGCAAAGGCTGGACACCAATCTGTGGGGAATGGTCTAGTGTTGCTATAGTGGTTGAGGAGGCAGACTCTAATCTGGGAGAACTGGCTTGGATTCCCCACTCCTCCACATGCAGCTGCTGGTGTGACCCTGGGTCAGTCACAAGTTCCCTCGGAGCTGTTCTCTCTCAGGAGCAGTTCTTGAGAGAGCTCTCTCAGCCCCACCTACCTCACAGGGTGCCTGTTGTGGGGAAAGGAACGAAAAGGAGATTGTAAATTGCTCTTCCTTCAGGCAGTGAAGGGTGGGGCATAAATCCAGGCTCCTCCCTCCTCTTCTTTTTCTTCTTGAGTTCCTTGTTGATCTGGGCGGCCTATAAGATTCCTTCCAACTCTAGTTTCAGACAGTAGCCCTGTTGGTCTGCAGTAAAACACCTAGATTCAAGTCCCGTCGCACCTTATAGACTAAGAAGATTTTTAGGGTATAAAATTTCATGCTATTTGACGAAAGGAACTTTGGCTATGGAAAGTTTATACCCTGAAAACCACATTAGCCTCTAAGCTGCTACTGAATTCAAATCTTCCGACTCTAGACCTGAAAATCTCCTTTTTGAGAAAGTTAAGGTGCTTTTGCCTTGTCTAAGATCTTGCGAGTAGTAAAACAGAGCCAGGCGAGAGTAAGAGCCAAGGTGCAGGGGAACAGATAGCGTCAGGCTACTGAAATGGGCTTATTATATATTATATAATATATTATATTATTTATAATGCAGGCCCCTTTGCGCAACAGTTACGCCTGTCACGTCTAAGTATTTGTAACAGCCTGGAAGAAAAAAAATATCGTGATCTGGAGATTACTCCGGGGCTTCTACAGCTTCTTGCATAACAATTTTGTTCCCTTGCTCAAAAGCCAGTCAAGTCCGACTCTAGGGTCATCTCCGTTTCAAAGCCGAAGAGCCAGCGCTGTCCGAAGACGTTTCCGTAGTCATGTGGCCGGCATGACTAAACACCAAGGCGCACAGAACGCTGTAACCTTCCCACCGAAGTGGTTCCTATTTATCTACTTGCAATTTCTTGCTTTCCAACTGCTAGGTTGGCAGGAATAATATATTATATTATTTATAATGCAGGCCCCTTTGCGCAACAGTTACGCCTGTCACGTCTAAGTATTTGTAACAGCCTGGAAGAAAAAAAATATCGTGATCTGGAGATTACTCCAGGGCTTCTACAGCTTCTTGCATAACAATTTTGTTCCCTTGCTCGAAAGCCAGTTGAGTCCGAATCTAGGGTCATCTCCGTTTCAAAGCCGAACAGCCAGCGCTGTCTGAAGACGTTTCCGTGGTCATGTGGCCAGCACGACTAAACACCAAGGCGCACAGAACGCTGTTACCTTCCCACCGAAGTGGTTCCTATTTATCTACTTGCAATTTCTTGCTTTCGAACCGCTAGGTTGGCAGGAATAATATATTATATTATTTATAATGCAGGCCCCTTTGCGCAACAGTTACGCCTGTCACGTCTAAGTATTTGTAACAGCCTGGAAGAAAAAAAATATCGCGATCTGGAGATTACTCCAGGGCTTCTACAGTTTCTTGCATAACAATTTTGTTCTATAATAATATTTGGACACTGGTAAGTAGCACTGTCAAAAAGCACTGATTTATGCCTTCCGCTCAGTCTTTTTCTTTACAGCACTCTGTCTGGGCCCCTTTTCTTTATTTTTTTAAAAAAACTGTAATGGTTTCCCCGAGTAGAGGCTGAACAGCTGTTCGGAGTGAGAAGTCACTCCACAGGATCAGCGTCGCAGAAGACCAATTTTTTTTTTTTTCCAACCAGGCCAAGTTTAAAGAGGTTGTGGCAGTCTGATGAAAGATAAAACTGTGGAGATTAAGATCCAAAAACTACTGGACACCACGTTTGTTTGCTTTGCAATTTAAATATATATATATCAAGAAATGCCTGCTCTTCTAGGTTCCTCGATCACACTTTGACTGAAGAACAAAAGAAGAGCCCTGCTGGATCAGACCAGTGGTCCAGCGTCTCACACAGGGGCCAACCAGTTCCTCTGGAGGGCCAACAACAGGGCACAGAAGCCAAGGCCTTCCCTTGACGTTGCCTCCTGGCTCTGGGATCCAGAGGATTAGTGCCTCTGAATGTGGAGGTTCCCCTCAGTCACCATGGCTAGTAGCAGAGGTCATTTCGGGGGGGATCGCAGGGGATCGCAGTTCCCCCGGGTGAGGTACGGGGGGCGGGGCACATGACGAAGCCCCGCCCCCCGCTTCCGGCCGCCCCGCTTCCGGCCCTCATTCAGCCAGGAGGAGGCAGGAGAAGAGGGAGGGTAAGTTGCTTCCTCCTTGCCTCTCCCCACCCCTGCCTGCCTGGGGCCAGGGAGGGCCTTCGCGGGGCTTCCTTGCACTCCCGCTGGCCTTGCAGGTCCACCGCCGGGCCCCTGATGTCAGGGGGTGTGGCATATGCTAATGAGTTATGCTAATGAGTTCCCCTAGCTCTTTTTCTACAAAACGACCCCTGGCTAGTAGCCATTGACAGACTTCTTCTCCATGAATCTCTCTAAATCCCCTTTTAAAGCTGCTTACTCCCATGGCCATCATGATATCCTCTGGCAGTGAATCCCACATTTTAATCACGCTCTGCGTAAAGTACGGTTTCCTTTTGCCCATCCTGAACCTACTGCCCATCAGTTTCATTGGGTGCCCTGCCCTTGAGTTCTGGCATTTTGGGAGACGTGAACCCCAATCCAAGTCAAAACAATCCCCATCTCTCCGTGCATCACTGATAACTGTCGTTTATGACCACAGCAAACACTCAGTGTGCCAGACAGGCACTGAAAATCTAAGCCTATATTGCCCGGGCGTTTTTGGAGTCTAGTCCATGCAGAGTTTTATATAACGGCTTTCTACTCCCGTCTCTGGTTCCAGCTCCTGCCAACCTAGCAGTTCGAAAGCAAGAAATTGCAAGTAGATAAATAGGTACCGCTTCGGTGGGAAGGTAACAGCGTTCCGTGCACCTTGGTGTTTAGTCATGCCAGCCACATGACCACGGAAACGTCTTCGGACAGCGCTGGCTCTTCGGCTTTGAAACGGAGATGAGCACCGCAACCCTAGAGTCGGATTCGACTGGCTTTCGAGCAAGGGAACCTTTACCTTTTTACTTGTAAAATACCAGGAGGGAGGGGGGTTGTCAGAAGGTTTA